ACCTGATTTGACAGGTCAGACTCCACCCCCCTTTGTCAAGTTGACAGATGATGTAACTGCCACAGTGGCGTTGGGAGAATACGGAAAAAGCTTTCTGAATTGCCAGAGAAACACATCTGTCTTGAGAGAAGCACGGCCATTAGGTTTCTTAGAAATGAGGATGGTGAGACGTGGGCTCCTGTACTTTGAACACATTATCAGGAGAGACCAGCCCCTGGGAAAAGGCCATCACACTTGGTAAAGTACAAGGGCGGCAAAAAAAAAGAAGCCCGTCAACGAGATCGACCTATAGACCTACACGGCAGCTGCAACAACAGGATCAAGCATAACAGGCCTGAGGATGACACAGAGCCAGCCAGTGTTTGCTCCTGTCACCAGGAGACAGAACATCATCTCCTGCCAACTTGTGAAGGGGTGGGTGGAGTCTAGCCTGTCAATCAGGTTGCAGCTGGATGACCCCCATTTGGAGGCGCTATGGAGATAGATAGCTCCCTGGAGGTCAGACACATGCTCTGCTTGTCCTCCTGCCAAGAAGCCACATGGAGACCCCTGATGGAACCAGAGCCCTGGAGCTGGAGGAGCCACGCGGAGCCCCACACCCAGCACTGAGATGCTTCTACCGCCACTGGATCCACGAGACTTTCTACCCACTGGCTTGTGATCTTCCTGCATTCGGTACCACTGCATGTGTTGTGTGAGTCTGAAGAGGACTTTATAGACTGGTATCAGACATAGGGGCTAATATCCGACTCAGGGACTTGATCTGGACTGGGCTGGGATGTTTTCTCAATGTACAATTGCTCTTTGATGTAAAGTTCTCTCTTAGAGACGTATGAGTGCCTCTGCATTTGTTTCTCTAGTCCACGCAGACTCACACAAACAGGAAGGGAGATAAGCCAGAGAGAAAATGACAAGTGCTCTATGGGCTCGACTTATCTGCGGTGTGTAGACGAGATAGTGGTTGCCAGAGGCTGGGGGAGTGGGCAGGGGTGGCAAGCATGGAGAGCGACTACTCAGTGGACACAGAGGTTTCCTGTCGGGGCGATCCAGATGTTGTGGAACGAAGCAGGGCCACCGTTTCCACAGTGTTGTGAATACGCGTCACGCCGTGGAATTGTGCACATCCGAGTAGTGAAGGGGGTGAACAGTGTGGGGAAGGAAAGGGTGACCCCCATATCTGAAAAGACCCTTGCCACACCGAGGTTCATTTCCGTTTAATTCATGAACTGCTCGCAGGTTGCAACATAATGCTTCAGCCCCTCCCCTAGGGTAGCAATGGCATTGCAGTGGGGTTCCGTGGCTGCCATGCAGGGGACCCATGTCCGAGGCCCAGCCAGTGTACTGCATGTACAGCCACCCCTCAAGCTGTCAGTGGACATGTACGCCTTGCATGACTGACCGGGTTTCAAGGGGGCCGCCTTGTGTAGGTTACTTGATGGGCCGCTACCCACAAGGTCTTCGGTTGGAAACCACCAGCCGCTCCCCAGGAGAAAGATGAGGCTGTCTGCTCCCAGGAAGAGTTATGGTTTCCGAAACCCACGGGGGCAGTTCTACTCTGGCTTATCGGGCCACTAGGAGTCCCACTCGGTGGCAATTGGGGAGAACCCACCCCTCCAAGGGGGCCAGGGGAGGGGGGGCAGCATAGTGGTTACACCTTGTTCCGCTGACTGAAAGACGTCCGTTTGCAACCCTGGGAGAAAGATGCGGCTTTGCTGGAGAAGCGAAGTCCGTGAAAACTCTGCCAGCTCCCGACCTGCATGTGATGGCGGAGATGATGCAGGGGGAGGAGTGGGGGTGGGGGGCTGAGTTGGGCAACGAATGCCACTGCAGCGGTCTCGGGCTCCTTACCTCCGTCTGAACAATCCCCCGGGGAAGGCCATGGAGGGGCAGCTTCCTGCAGGATCACACCACCCCTGGGGCTCCAAGATTTCTGTGTTCACACCCCCACCCCCACGCCCGCCACCTTCCCCAGTTGCAACCCTGACCCCTGGCTGCCTCCTCCTTCCGACTTCTCAGAAAGAAGAAAAAAACAAAACAACAAAAAGGCGCTCCAGGAAGCATCCGCCGTGCCTGTCCAGCGGGCCGGAGGGGCAGGGGCAGGGGTCAGCAAGGAGGTGACCGCAACGTCTCCGTGGGGACCAGGGTCCCGTGAGGCCTGAGAGGTGGCGAGGGGGGTGGGGGGGTAGTGAGACGTTGGATTTTGTCCCACCCTGCGACTTTCCTGCCTCAACCCAGGAGGGCGCCCTGGATGCCGCTGCCCTGCCCCCCACCTCCTTCCTCTTCTGACACGGCTTCCCGGCCTGGGATGGATGGCAGGGCGGGGCCGGGTGGGGCCGCCAAGCCCGGCCAAGACCCAGAGGCACACGGTCCGGTTGCCAACACCAGGGACCCTATCTTGCCCAGAGCGGCCAAGGTCCTGCCTGCGCATCACACAAAGACCCCATGCAAAGCGAGGGGGTGGGGGGTTGTTACTGGGGGAGCGCTGGGCCTCCTGGCCCCAACAGCGACTCCCTCCACCCCAAGAGCTGGCCTCCAGCCCGGCCTTGGGCCTTGGGAG